CACACACACACACACACACACACACACACATACACACTTACACACAAGAATAACCGCATAGAAGAACATGAAACTACAATGAAACAAAGTAGGCATGAAATGTCATACAAAAGTCATGCCAAAGTACCGGCGAAGTCGCATATAGGAGTCCAATATAAAATACATCTCACATGGTACAACAACGGAAAAAATTCCTAGAATTAAATAATCATTCTATACTGAAATTACATTCTAAATTTAAAATTTTCATTCCATCTTAAAAAATGTCACTCTAATTTTAAAATTTTCCGTCTTACTTAAAAACTTTCCTTCCAACAATGGGGTATCCCTTCTTATTTGAACTGCATGCTAGAGATGGAAAGAAAGTGTGGACGAGTTTATGAAATATTTTAATTGGACTGTCATTCTAAGTAAGGATTTTCAGTCATAAATAGGTTAATCCGATCTAAATTAGAAGATATTTCTTGTAGTAGAATGAAAGTTTAATTAAAACATTCATAAACTCGTCCATACTTTCATTCCTTCTTGAACAAATAGATGTAGTTGGAAGGGAAAGCTCATATTTAGACGGTATCTTATCAAATAAAACTAAAAATTTTATAGAATTGGACGAACATTAGAATGATAATTTATAAATATGAAGGATTTTTTTTTTATGAAATGTTTTTCAACTTCATTTCTCGTGGGAATTTTTCTGTTGAATGTGTCATCGACACTCATGCCGATTCGCACAAGGCCGTACACCGATGGGATGCAGCCTACACCGCTAACTAACAAAGCTGAAAATAAAACCCTAACAAACATCTACGTAAAACGACAAGTTAGAATGAAGTCCAACCTCTAACAAAAACCCAATAACTAAAAAACAATATAAAAACGCCGTACATAAACCGAAAAACGAAACAAACAAACACTGTCGACGACACTACCAGTCTACCTGCATGCTGAAGTCCATGAACTGGTCCGAAGTCCCTAAAACCTAACTATATGTACATCATCTTAAACAATATACAAAAACGTCAGAACACTAAGCACAAACAACATAAAGGCGTCGTGGAAGCACTAGAAGGGGAACGAAGCTTTTAATACCGCCGACTTCCCTTCCCCTTACCACTGCCTCTCTGCCTCGCCCCACTCGTGCTGCGTGTCGACGAAACACTCCCTCGCCCTGGCGCTGTCGCAACGAATGACCCTCGCCTCCTCGAACTCCTCGTCTCCCGCCGCCCTGGAGGGGACGGGTCGTCTACGTCATCATGTCCTCTACGAGAGCCACGTCGTCTACGAGAACCATGCCGCGGTGGAGGGGAGGGCTCGTCGTCGTCGTTTTGGTAGCTGTCATCATCCCCGTTGTCGCTCAGCTCATCCTCACGCTCCTCGTCGTCCCTGTACTCGTCACCCTCCTGTGGGGCCTCCTCACGTGCAGGCTCCGTCTCGGGATCGTTCTCCACCACGGTCACATGGGCAGCCCCCGTCCTCACCCGAACAAGCCTAGCACTCACATGAGTCACCTCTTCGACTGTCTTCTCACGATGAGAACCGCGCGGCATCTCCAACCCCTCGGCTCCATAAGACTCCTCCAACACGACATCCCCCGTGACAGGCATCAATGGAACTTGTACGAGCTACTCTGCTCCTGGGCGAAGTCTGCTCACGCACAGCACGTGCTGCTGCTGCCAAAGCGGCCTGCAAGGTACACCCGGCCTGTCCAACCCCGCGAACATCTCGCGGCTGAGATACTGCCGCCATGACCTCCCTCGGCGTACCCCTCCCGGTGTCATCCCCACCCAAACCTGGCTGCTGTCGTGCAGTGTGCACTGTGACCCGACGTATGGAGTCCAGGTCGATATTCGTCCTCCCGAATAGCGACGTGTCAAGAGGGAGGCTTCATACGGCCGTCGTGTCACGTACCCTGGGTCTGGTGGGCATGGATGGTGAACGGGGGGCCCGACCGATTGGTGTCGAGGGGGAATCGTTGTGACGTGATCTCGGAGGAGGAGGCGACATAAGTGGTCTGCTAGGGTCGGTGTCCTCCCGCCGCGTCACGTCACGCACAACAGCCCGTGCGAGCTCCGCGAAATCCAATGGATGAGCTGTATCCTGAGGAGCTCGCCGCCCAGTAACCGGTGTATAAAGAACTGCCTCAGATCCTAAATCCACGACTATGACTGGTGGTACCTGAACAAATGCCTCCTCCCCAGGACCTGACCCCTGCACACACGGTCGAACGGGCCGCATCGTCGTCGTCATCTGCAAGCCCGTGAACGGTACCGACGAACTGCTACCTCCGGGGATATCCGCAGGGGGTGCATCCTCACTCTCCACCTGTGGCTGCTATACTACCTCCTCGCACCCCTGCTGAAGCGTGTTTGTCTCTCTCCCGGAGCATCCTGCAAATGCCTGCTTGATGTCCTCTGTGGAGTACCCAGTGGCCGCTAGGGCACGCGCCACATCCTCTCTCTCTGCGTGACCAGGGGTGGGCGGATCCCCCAAAGACATGTCCATGAAATCCCCCATCCCCAGCCCTGACGCCCCCCTCTGTCCTGATGGCGACGCCCCCAGTGCCCTCCTCGTGCTCGGGGTCAAACCCGCTAGTGCGGGACCCATCTCGTCATCGACGAAACGTTGGACGATCGGGTCAAGGTCGCTGCCTCCCTCTCCTCTACCATGGGCGACGTCCCCCCCTACCACACCCTCCTCTCCCCCAACCAACGCAGCAGCATCTGCCCTCACCACATCCTCCTCCATCCTTACCTAGGTATCACCATCATCTACCCCTGCCACGCTCTCGTCTACCCCTGCCACAGCCTCATCTTCCTCACCGTCCCTCATCGTCGCCTCCTGCGTCCTCACCACATCGTCCTCTCTCTCAACCTCCGATGGCAGCACGCCCTCCACTGCCTCAACCTGCTCACCATCATCAACCCTCGCCATGGCCTCCTCTCTCTCGACGTGCGCACCATCATCTACCTCCACCACGCCCCCCACTACTCCAGCTACCTCTTCCTCCATACCCCGAATACCCTCGACTCCGCCCGCTCCGGCGGCTCCGTGCTCCTCCGCTCGTCTCTCCCTCTCCTCCACCGGTGGTGCCCCGCTATGAACACCCATCTCCCCCAAGTCGCTCGATAAACGCGAGTCCAAAACGAGCTGACGGGCTACGCTAAACAATGATCCATGCCCGCGGATGCGCAACGAGGATCCCAAGTCCTCCCTCCCAACCGGTGCAGGTGAGCGCTCGTCATGCTGAACGGGAGCGGGCGGAGCGGATGCAGGGAATCCTGGGATACAATGAAGCGAAAGAGGCGATGGGGACGAGGGTCCGGAATGCGTAGCGGGAATACTCGTCTGCTCTCGCGTGGTCGTGGGGGCAGGCGTCTACTCCTGCGCAGTCGACGAAACAGTCGTCCGCTCCCGCACTGTCGTGGCAGGACCCGGCTCCTCACTCGCAGTTATGAGAGGAGGCGTCTCCTCCCGCAAGGTCGTGCAAGGACGCGTATCCTCCCACGCGGCAGTGGGTGATCTCTCCTTTGTGCCCGCGAAAGATCCCAAAAACTCCTCGCCCCCCATCATATCCATGTCTCGCTGGTCTGCCGCCCTCCGCGCGGTGTGCGTCCTCTCGTCACGCACGTCGCCCCCCTCGTGCAACTCATCAATCTCACGCAGGATGGAAAGGATCGGGTCGTCCGCTGCTTCCGACTCCCTCTCGTCCGCAGAGTCATCGTCCCCGGGGTATGGATGGAAGATAGTCGCACGAGCACCGAAAACAGAGTCAACAGGGGGCGGCGCAAAAGACCCAATAGGATCACGCGCAATGAGGGCAGCCTGCTCCTCGATCTCATCCTCCGTCATCCCACTCCTCGTCCCCGAGCGCACAGGCTCCACGTCCAATCTCGCCTGAGCGTCAACATGCCCTCGTCTCGCTGCCAAGGGAGGATGTATCCACAACCTGCACGTCTATACTCCATCAACCGCACATTTGCGGTGATCTCAACAAGATGAACGACCTTCTCGAAGGCCAACCGATTACGCTTCTTCGTATGGATGCCCTCGTGGACCGCCCAGTTCCTCTCCGCTGGAGAGGCGCAGGACCACATGTGCATCAAACGAAGAGCGCAATGCTGTAAATCGGCCACGTCTCCCCCGTACTGAGACCACCACGACGCACACTCCAAAGTCTCGCAGTCTCCGCTGCAACTACGCGCTCGAGCACGGCCTCTGCCCCGCCCGAAGACCCATACCTATCCTGCTGCATGTGAAAGTCCTCGAACTGCCGACATACCTCAAGGTAACGACCACCCGACTCGTCGTGGCCCGTCTGAGACAACAGATACCTCTTGGTTTGTCGAACAAGCCAAGTGTGGTACCGGTCGAGCTGCGCGGAGAAGTACTGAACATCCCGGCGACGGGGGTTCGGTAAGAACGCGGCGCAGTGTGCGGGCTTCAGCATGTGCTGTATTCGGGCCTGCAGACGCCTCATGATACGGTCAGAAAAAGACTGGCCAAGAGGAATGCAAGCATCCCGCACAAGGCGTGCAAGATCCTGAGTCCACTCTACAACGAGGGACATGAACTGCCCGCCACGGTCCATCCGCCTCAGCAAGT